CCAGCGGAGACACTCTCGACTTTCTTTCGGCACAGCTCGGTGGCAGTTGCGGTAGCAGTTGTGCTCTGATCGACACTGCCGACGCTAATCCGACGATAGTAGCACTTACTTTGCTTCCTCCTCCTTCTCCTTCTTCTCCTTCNTACTGTTGCTGCTGCCGGCACCACTGCAAGCCACTACAAACTTTGCACTGACATTCAATCATCGTGTTCTTCAGGCCCCAGCGGAGACACTCTCGACTTTCTTTCGGCACAGCTCGGTGGCAGTTGCGGTAGCAGTTGTGCTCTGATCGACACTGCCGACGCTAATCCGACGATAGTAGCACTTACTTTGCTTCCTCCTCCTTCTCCTTCTTCTCCTTCTCCACTACAACTACCACTGAAAATGAGCTTGACACCTAAGATCGGCAAGTCCCATTCATCTTCGTCATCGAGCGCATCGACGTCCTCTTCGGCGTCCTCTTCTGTGGCCATGTCGTCGTCGCATGGTAGCGGCTTCCACCACCATCACCCTCACCAGCAACACCACCACAGTGGTGTCGGTGGTGGTGGTGGTCATCACAGCGGCGATACCATCCAGTTGCTGGTGGACAATGCCAACTTTGTGGTCAATCCGGAGATCTTCGCCTCGAAGAAGGACACCATGCTCTATCGGATGTTCTTCTCCTCGCCCTCCATCGCCAAGCCGAATGAGAAAGGCCAATACGTTATTGAGGGCTTCTCCGCCACCGTCTTTGGCGCCGTTCTGGTAAGTTTTGCTGCTAATTCAGCCCACCCAGCCAGCCAGTCAGTTATGCCGAGTCAGACCTCGTCGCAGTCGAGAAGTTATATTCGTTTTGAATGAGCTTTTCCCCTCCCGCTCTTTCCCTTTCCCTCTCTTCTCCAGTCTTTTGCTTGCTCAGTGCCTTCCTGCCAACTCAGCTCAGCTCAGTGCCTAGCAAAGTGGCAGCGGTCACTTAGTGGCAATGATATATTGCGTCGCCAAGACAAATTGCCACTTTCAGCTGCATGTGTCACATGCTGCTGCTGCTTTTAGAAATTGCAGCGAGGAAAATTTCAATCAGAAAAGCGGCGGCGGCAGAGTTGAAGATGGAAACGAGGCGACGATGGCCAGTGT